GCTTTATAAAATAATTGGTCTTTCGCATTATGTACAGTTTCTTTTGAAAACACGTTTTGCTTTTTGATACGCTTTTAATCCTGGTTTTACTCGGGAATATAAAAAAAACTAAGTATTAAAACTTTTAATTGTTATGTTTTTCGGCTTATTCACGTAACTGTTTGGCGAGGAACTCTACTATTTTCAAGCCATATCAGGGGCTCATGAGCAAAAATACTAATGGGTTTTTAAAAAAAAATCTCAGTATTAGCACGGAGTCTGTAATCGTGCCCGGCATATGGCAATAGGCTCACCCCCTCTTACATGGGACTCATAACATAAATAGTGAAAAGTGGGTGTTACAATTGTATAGTGGCATTAAATGCCGTTATGTGCACATTCCACATCCATCCACATCCCGAAGTGGCAGAGGTGCACCTCTGCCTACCACTTCGGGGATAAAAGGCGTGATGTCATGTTATTGTTAACATAATATTTTTTTTACAATAAAAATGTTTTTGGTATTTTACCTTGACTTGAAAATAAAACTTTGAAGTCTCGAACTTGATTGTCGTCTCTTTTAGAACTTTTTTTTAAGGGGGGACAATTATCGAATGGCTGCTCCCGCCTGGGTGATTCTTGAGGGAGTGTCAGACTCTTACTGATTAAAAACCACCCCGTTCCTTCTCCTGCACGTCGAGCCGGAGCCCCGGTAACCCGTTAGGTTCTCCACGACACCCTTTTAGAACTAGACTAACGAGTTGTTAAACAATTATGTTGGTGCAAATCCAATATTAAAACATCATCAATATTGGATCAGCATTACTAGAGACACAACTCTTAACACATAAACACAGACAAACAGACATAATTTTTTTTAGTTTGGATTTATTGACATAGAAGTAACCCAGAAAGGATTGTTAGCAGCGTGGGTAGCAGTTCTATTCTCATGTGGGACAAAATATTTGTATAATAGGAAATGCTTGGTATAATCAGATACAATATATCTATACTAATATTATAAAGAGGAAAGATTTGTACCTATTTTTGTATGTTTGTATGTTTGTAATGAATAAGCTCAAAAAGTATTGAGCCGATTTAAAAAATTCTTTCAACAATAGAAAGCTACATTCTTCCAATTTGACATAGGCTACATTTCATTTTGAAAAAAATTAGGGATCCTTGGTAAAATTTGAACAATGTAACCGAAGGTGTAGAAAAATTATTCTTAAAATGTCTGTCGTCAAATGCGCTGCCGAAACTATTAGCGATAGAACAAAATAATGTACAACAATATTGAAGAACATCATAATGTCTACAACAAACTTCGACATAACTACAATAGTTGGACATATGTAGCATATGTCTGTACAACAATCCAAATTTCTAAAAATAAATATTTGTCTACCCCGTGCGAAGCTGGGATGGGCTACTAGTGTATATATATAACGATATTTAATTTCCGTATACAAAGGTAAATAAACGAGGACATTTTTTAGAGGATTCTATCAATAGACAAATTCAATACTTTTTATCTAAATGTCAAAGAAACCTTCCGTTTCTTAGAAAGATAGTGGACATATGACGTTCTAGGTTTGGTAGTTATATTTGACTAGCTGTTGCCTGCGACTTTGTCCACGGAGAATATGATTCCTGTTTTATCCCATGGGAGCATTTAATCGGGATAAAAAGTATCGTACCACCTAAGTCAGCCTTACCCTACCTGTATACCAAATGTATCAAAATCAAAATCCGTTCAGTAGTTTCAGCATCATTGACGGACAAAAATTTAAACAAAGATACGTTTACAATTATAATATTAGTGTCATTTTATTTTATATTTATGCATTTACATCAGACAATGAAGATTAATATTAACACAATGTCTATACTACATTTTAACCTGTAAAGTGTTGGAACACAGATCTACGGGAGAAAATGTGTTTTCTATTGTGTCTCGTATATCGACAGACAGTATTATGTTATAATTATAATATCGTAGGAGTGTCTGGTTTTGCCTATATTTCACGAGAAAAAATTATACGGCAAACAGAATTCAAAAATGTATGTAAAATAAAAATCTTTCATAACAAAGAAACAAGATAATGAAATAGAAAAACATTGGAGACAGACTAGTTGCAATATTGTTCTTATTTTATTTAGAGGCAACCGTGTCTTGACTTACAAACTTACATTTTACTTGTGACAAAATAAAAAATCAACCTTACCTTCTGGATATTGCGTTCAATTTGCCGTGACGGGTGACAACGTCAAGTGTATATTAGGGTTGTCAAGGTATGTCTTGGTAGGAAATAGGTAGTACGGAACCACGCACGGTCCCAAGGAAATTGCGATGTTTTATTCTATTTGCTGAACAGTTGTCGGTCGATAGGAAATATAGTGAAGGATTTCAGAGTAGATGTAATATCAGAACGGCTTAGGGTTGTCGGTTAAATGAGAAAGAATTTTCTGTAAAAATCTTATTGGTTATTTTATTGAGTTCTATTTTTTTTGTATCCTGTTTGGAGCTATGTGAGCGGATGCTTAGTTGAAAGATTTTCTTTTTAAACCGGTACGTAACGTAGTTCTGTATCGTGGTTGCAATGAAGTCATCATCAACAGCCTATAAGTACCTACTTATGAGCAAAGTCTTTTCTCACACTTAGAAGGTTTGAGTATTAATCACCACGCTTGCTCATTGCGGGTTAGTGATTTCAAACTTGAAAATATAAATCCAGGTTTCCTCGCGATGATTTCTTTCACCGTTCACATATAACTCGGAAAGGTTACATCGGTACTCGCCGTTGGTAGGTTTCAAACCAGCATCCTCATGCATGAGAAGCAGGCGTCTTAACCTATGGGATACTACGATTAACAGGCAATGAAAAAAGAATAATATTATACAACTCTCTGAACACTATTACACATATTTATTTCATGTAGGAATTCAATTAAAAGTGCTTTCGTTTTGTTTTGTTTATTCAGGGCCAGAAATGGAATTAAAATACGATGAAAGACTTTTAGTAAAACAAATTTCTATTTATTTATTAAAATAGTTTATATCAATATGTCCAACTTATAACAGTTGAGCATATTTCTTTACAAAAAGCCAGCAACGCATTTCTTCAGAAGGTGAAAGTGTCCATTGGTGGCGCTGATTGCTCATCATCAGGTCATCAGTTTGCACATTGTCCTCCTATACCCTAGAAAAATCATGCTTCTATAAATACCGTCTTTAAATGTACTGGAAACCAAGATATTCTTTTCTTTTTCAAACACCCCATATCTCCAATACTTATAGTCTTAGGTATTGGTGCTCAAGTGTGTAAAGAGACAATAAGTAACGAATATACAAAGAACACACAATAAATATTGCTAGGAGCAGCCGACAAAACCGTAATGCCGTCAAATCCCTCATTTGTCAGTTGTATGGCAACCCTAGTAGGTGACATGACATCGTGTAGGTAAAGGCAGAAGTCCAAGTAATAATGCTATACTTTGGAAAAATTATAATTAATTGTCTTTAAACAGATACTCATGTAAATGTTTAACGAGGTACCTCGACTAGTTTAAGCCACGTTAGGGACTCATATTCATGAGTAGCATTGCGTGACACACGATGCAACAGGATACTCAATTTGGAAAAATTTCTGATAGATTTCTGATTCAAGTGTAATCCTCATATTGTGCATGTGTCTATGGTCCAACGTAAACAATAGCTTAATCTACGAATAATCGAGCCTTATGGTAAATACGTCAATGCACATTGAACAAATTTGTTGATTGCAACATTATTTAGTAGATTTTTTATGGGCTAAGCCGTTAAACGAGCAGACGAATCACCTGATGTTGAGCGATCGGCGCAGCCCATGGACACCCGGAACACCAGAGGCGTTTAAAATGCGTTACCGGCCTTTTGGGGATTATGAATTTCAGGATTGTTGGGGAAAGGGATGGAGTAATTGGGTCTCCGCAACCTCACTCACATAACAAAACACTGTTGTCAGTTTTCTGTGAGGCCGTGCTATCAAAATACGGCAGAGCCAGCGCATTCCTGCCGAAGCATGGCTCTCCCACACGTTTAACTTAATAACATAAGAATCCAATTAACAAACTTTCAAAGACCATATTTGCACCATTTCATCTGGACCTGTAACTGACCTTCTGTTCTATCATACTCAGTGGTAAAGTAGGGAGGATTTGTGATGTCACGACATACTACTTACTTTATTTTCGGGGAGTACTTCGTGCGTACAAATTGCATATGAAGTATATCTAGCATCACACGGGGAATGTTATGTCTCCGCTGAATTAGTTTCGACTTTGATTGCTTTCGTTTTCAATTTTGATGAAAAATTGTATTAATTAAATACTTACATAGTTAAATAGTCTCAGTTTCAATATTATTTATATAATAGGCTTTGGTAGGTTGGCGTTGAGCAAAAGTTGTATACTATGTTGACTATAACTAAAATTTCATTTAATTTTGTTTGCCTTAATAAAATATCTGCTATGTGGACATAAACCAAGTTCTTGGCTAGGTATTAAACACTGTTTATAACAATGTGATAATATGTGTAAACTTAATTTCATTGTATTCGACAGTTGCACTTACAGCCCCAAAAACCAGCCTTAAAAAAATAAATAAAATCTCCTACTGCCCCATTTGGAGGCCACACTACGTTCGTCTATAACTCATAAGTAAATTACAACACAATTAAGTTGGGCGCGCCAAAACCACTTGGCACCGTCAAAACGTTACAAAGTAGGGAATGCAAATGTAACGAGAGAAACGTCATGGCCCATAATAGCATAAATAAACTATGTAATTCATATTTTGTTGCTGCACTCTCGACGTTAAGGCGTTTTTGAGAATATTTCTTAAATTTATAGGTAAGTAAATGTTTATTTTAAATACGTACTTGTAGTCTTTATTTAAGGGGGGAAATCATCGAATTACCTCTACCGCCTGGGTGAGGCGAAAGGGAGTGTCAGACTCTTACTGACTAAAAACCTGTAACATAAAAAAAATAACGTTAACCCAAAATAAGGGAAAATGGATAAAATATTAATTACCGCCATCTGTCATCGCTTTTGCGAATTAACATAGACGATAGCAATATAATCAACAACCTTGGATCTTGCCTTTCATATCGACCAAGTGTTAGTAGTACTATCTCTGTGACATAGATGGCACTAGTTCCACACTAATATTCTTTTGTAGTAACACTTTCTGACAGTAGGGGTCTCACAGATCGTAATCTGGAACAATCTAGAGATTTCTTCGGATCAGGAAGTGGATCGTGCAAAATATTACCAAATATGGTGATGTTTGGTGCTTCGATCAGTAGTGGAATCGAAAGATAGGGGGTATAAATATAGGAGTTTTGTAGAAACCGTCCTTTTTCGAAATCGATTTCTACAACAAGGAAGATCAGACTGAAGAAGTGCTGTGTCTTGTAATTTTATTAAAAAGTTGTCGTGCAGGTCCCGTGAAAGACCTGAATTAATTAATATTTGTGTGTATTTCGTCCCAGATTCTGGGTAAGTTTCTAAAACAAAATATTAAATAGATATTCGTTTCTTCGCGATGTGAATATAGGTTATATTGTGTTCTTACGATGTACCCATTGTTATAGGTTCTTTATATCTGGAGAAAATTCTTTATATCTGGAGAAAATTCTTTATATCAGGAGAAAATTCTTTATATCAGGAGAAAATTCCTTGTATCAGCAGAAAGTTTATCCATGTCTACCCCATTGTAGACAATCAATTGATTTGTCGTTTTGCCCGTGAAGTCGAGCTGGAGCATCGTGGTACGGCTTCAGATACTCATGATTTATACGAGGTCACCGAAAGAAGGCAGATCCTTACAGTCATACACCAGATCCTCTGTTGTAGTGCTGGCACGCCGGATATCTGTCTCAGAAGTTAAGTAACATAGTTTATTAACTGTATGTACTTATAAGGGTATTGACAATCACCCTGCGAAGGTGATATGTTTGTTACAGATTAGCTGTTTTTGCTGTATTTAATCCAAATATTTATAGTTAAATATTGCCATTCATGTATATTTGGAATTTTTGTTATATATGTGTAATTACCCACTTCCTTCCAGATAAAGTTGTATTAAAATTAACGAAAATAAGTGGGTAACTTGTAATAATTATATATTTAAAGGTGCATGATTTGATGATCAGCTGATCATCGTCTGTATGTATATTACTTGTGCCGTTCTTTGGATTAATTGGTAATTTGATTACATGGGTTAATTGTGTGTGTTAAATTAAATATATTTTGGTAAATTTATACTGTATAGCTTTGTGTTATTTGAATTTATTTATACCCCACGAAGAGAATCATGGCGCCCTGGGATTATCTAATATAAAGTTTATTTAAGAGTTTCTTGTCCTGCCCTGAGACTAGGTCCGGTGGTAGCCGAAATTAAAGGTTACAAATTGGCGACCAACGTCAAGGCCGACAGAAAAACTGATTCTCTGGGGTTTATCCAGGTGTGTTCTAATGATGAAGAATAGGTTGTAAGCCATAAAAAGTTTCAACCAATCTGAAGTCACACCTTAGCTTTTAATTATATAAGAATACCTTAATTTAACACACAACCCAACCATCTAGTTTGATTTTCTTTGATTTTTATTTTTTATTCACTACCTTCTTTTATTCTACTTGCAACAAAATGTCCTCAATACATAAATATATAAACTATTTAAGAAAGGATGAGATCATATCTGAACTAGATTTACTCGGCATTTCCACAGCTCCTGATTCAACCGTTGATTCGCTGAGAAGGCAGCTGAGACAGGTGCATAAGCTGTCCAGGCGTGGCAGCATTAAAACAGAACAAGTCACATCACCACTCCCAGCAGCTGAGGCAAAAGTCTGTAACCCGAAGGTTGGTGAGCTGGAGGATCTGCTTTCTTCAGGTGACTTAACGAAAGATAGGAGTTTACTCATACGCATTTCAGTCAGGGCTAATTATCTAATTGACCGTTTGGCTAGGTCTGGATCACTAAATACGTCAATAACAGAGCTTAGACACAGACTTATTAGAATTTTGGCTGAAGTAGAACCTGACGATGAAGATAGTTCGGAAGAATACGTAGATAGGGAGAATACCCCCAAATGTAAAAGCGCGAGTAGAGTAATTGAGGACATACCAGATAGTGAGGTAGGAGATCGTCTCGTAAAAGAGAACAGGATTGATATGCCTAAAGGTAGGGAAGAAATTTTATTGGTTAGGGATAAACCAATAAACCTAAACTCTTTAAACTTAAAATACAATGGATCAACATGTATTCGAATCTTTATAGAAAGATTAGAGGAACTCAGGCAGGCCCGTGAGATTCCGGAAGCACGTATGCTTACTGCTTTTTCTGACCTATTAGAAGGCCCACCATTATCATGGTTTAGGTGCAATAAACCAACTTTTAATTCTTATTCTGAATTGTTATCTCGTCTAAAAGAGGACTTTGACACTCCAGATTTTGATTATCAATATAAAAATGAAATTAGACAACGTACGCAGGCTAAGCATGAAACAATCTTAAACTATATTTCCACTATGCAAGGAATGTTTTCTCGTTTGTCCTACCCCGTATCCGAGGAGGAACAACTAGAAATACTAATGCACAATATTCGACCAGAGTATATGATGGCATTAGCCTTGCAAGAAGTAGATTCAATTAGCAAATTGAAACATTTAGGAAAGCGTTTAGAGCTAGCACAATCGCGTGCAAACAACTTTATAGAACCCAAATTTAATAAAACAGATAACTATTACAACCCTCCGTCGAGGAGTGGCAAGTTTCCAAGTAAGGATTATAAAATAGCAGCCGTAAATTCCAGTCCACGAGGTGAGGCGAACATTACGTGCTGGAGGTGTAAAACCAACGAACATGTCTCTAATGAATGTAGACAGGCTAAATCTAGGGAAATATTGTGTTATGGATGCGGACAGCCAGGCGTAACACGACCTGCATGTCCACACTGCAATTCAAGAGTAGAAATTGAGAATGTCAAAGAAAAAATAAAACTGAAATGTGAGAACGCTACCCGATACTCAACATTAAATAGGTCACCTAACAACTTAAATAAAGGTAAAGTTCTCTTTCCAAACAAAAAGCCTGATAACCGACCTCACCTTCAGGTAGATATCATCTCTGTAGATAGTCCAAAGGATGAATGGTATCAATATATGCTCACGTCCGTAAAAGAAAATCCGCGCAAATTCCCAAATTTTATGGAAAAAGATGGTAGTTTATTTAGATATTCAAAGAATAAATATAATTTGACAAACGAATGTAATTGGAAATTGGTAGTACCTGAGGATAATAGGTTAGAATTATTACAAAAGTATCATGACGATCCTACAAGTGCACACTTGGGCGTTATGAAAACTCATAAAAGAATAGCCTTACATTATTATTGGCCTCGCTTGTATGAAAACGTAAAAGATTACGTGAGTAAATGTGAAGTTTGTAAAACATCTAAACCTGTCAACACCGTTCGTCCTGGTCTGATGGGTAATCCCAAGTATTATAATCTAAGGAAAAGACAGGTGGAACTGAAGATAGGCCAATTCGTTTATAAACGTACATTTTATCTCTCTAACAAAGCCAAAAATTTTTCATCTAAGCTAGCTCCTAAATTCATAAAATGTGTGGTAACAGCCAAGCGTTCACCACTAGTATATACTTTATCAGACCTAGACGGAAAATGTTTGGGTAATTATCATATTAAAGATATCCTCAAATATGATTCTTAAGTAAAAATTAATTAACTTTTGTGTTTATGTCTGTTTGACTAGCGTCAATAGTACAAATTAAAACACAAATAGTGATTATTTTAATCTGTATTACCAGTAACGGAGGTTACACAATGGTAATTACAAGAAACAAGATAAGGTTAGGTAGTCGAATGAGTCCAGGTTCAAACCCGAGTTATGACCTACTCGCTATTATTCACTTTAGGTTGTTTGTCTATGTTTTTTTTTTTTTTTCAACGTGAAATTGCAGAAGATTAATTTTGTATGTTTTTTTTTTTTTTGTTTGTAACTTAACTTGTAATTTGTTATTTGTTTTTTTTTGTTGCTTTTGCCAGTCAGGTCTCTAGGAGCGATCCCTGGGAAAATTTTTAGTAACTAAAAATTTTTTCACAAGGGGGGGTGTATTGTAACATAAAAAAAATAACGTTAACCCAAAATAAGGGAAAATGGATAAAATATTAATTACCGCCATCTGTCATCGCTTTTGCGAATTAACATAGACGATAGCAATATAATCAACAACCTTGGATCTTGCCTTTCATATCGACCAAGTGTTAGTAGTACTATCTCTGTGACATAGATGGCACTAGTTCCACACTAATATTCTTTTGTAGTAACACTTTCTGACAGTAGGGGTCTCACAGATCGTAATCTGGAACAATCTAGAGATTTCTTCGGATCAGGAAGTGGATCGTGCAAAATATTACCAAATATGGTGATGTTTGGTGCTTCGATCAGTAGTGGAATCGAAAGATAGGGGGTATAAATGTAGGAGTTTTGTAGAAACCGTCCTTTTTCGAAATCGATTTCTACAACAAGGAAGATCAGACTGAAGAAGTGCTGTGTCTTATAATTTTATTAAAAAGTTGTCGTGCAGGTCCAGTGAAAGACCTGAATTAATTAATATTTGTGTGTATTTCGTCCCAGATTCTGGGTAAGTTTCTAAAACAAAATATTAAATAGATATTCGTTTCTTCGCGATGTGAATATAGGTTATATTGTGTTCTTACGATGTACCCATTGTTATAGGTTCTTTATATCTGGAGAAAATTCTTTATATCTGGAGAAAATTCTTTATATCAGGAGAAAATCCTTTATATCAGGAGAAAATTCTTTATATCAGGAGAAAACTCCTTGTATCAGCAGAAAGTTTATCCATGTCTACCCCATTGTAGACAATCAATTGATTTGTCGTTTTGCCCGTGAAGTCGAGCTGGAGCATCGTGGTACGGCTTCAGATGCTCATGATTTATACGAGGTCACCGGATGAAGGCAGATCCTTACAGTCGTGCACCAGATCCTCTGTTGTAGTGCTGGCACGCCGGATATCTGTCTCAGAAGTTAAGTAACATAGTTTATTAACTGTATGTACTTATAAGGGTATTGACAATCACCCTGCGAAGGTGATATGTTTGTTACAGATTAGCTGTTTTTGCTGTATTTAATCCAAATATTTATAGTTAAATATTGCCATTCATGTATATTTGGAATTTTTGTTATATATGTGTAATTACCCACTTCCTTCCAGATAAAGTTGTATTAAAATTAACGAAAATAAGTGGGTAACTTGTAATAATTATATATTTAAAGGTGCATGATTTGATGATCAGCTGATCATCGTCTGTATGTATATTACTTGTGCCGTTCTTTGGATTAATTGGTAATTTGATTACATGGGTTAATTGTGTGTGTTAAATTAAATATATTTTGGTAATTTTATACTGTATAGCTTTGTGTTATTTGAATTTATTTATACCCCACGAAGAGAATCATGGCGCCCTGGGATTATCTAATATAAAGTTTATTTAAGAGTTTCTTGTCCTGCCCTGAGACTAGGTCCGGTGGTAGCCGAAATTAAAGGTTACAAACCACCCTGTTCGTCCTCCTGCCCTTCGAGCCGGAGCCCTGGCAACCCGTTTGTGGTCTAGCAGCCTTTTGTAATAGTAGTCGTTTTTTATGGTATATGGCCGGTAAACGAGCAGACGACGGATCACCTGATGGTAAGCAATCGGCGTCACCCATGGACACCTGGAACACCAGAAGCGTTACAAGTGCGTTACCGGCCTTTTGGGGATTAGGAGTTTGAGGATTCGGGGATTGGGGAGATTGGGGAAGAGGGGAGGGAGCTGGGCCTCCGGTAACCTCACTCACACGACGAAACACGACGCAAGTGTTGCTTCACTTCGGTTTTCTGTGAGGCCGTGGTATCACTCCGGTCGAGCCGGCTCATTTGTGTCGAAGCATGGCTCTCCCACACTTAACACTTATTGCGGTATGGCAATGTGCTTTTTTTCATCAAACAAAATCAATTCGGTATAATAATAAACGCTAACTGCCTTACAAGAAATTATTAACATCATTGCCTTATTGCAGGAAAAAGTTGAATCTACCTGCTTCTTGAAGTACTTTCTTAGATTATCCGTTTAGTAATCGAGGAATGTAAAATGTTTCCATCATTGACAAGTAAGAGGTAGACGACATTACTTTGAAACTTCGACCCTTACTAGCGTAAACAATTTTCCCACAACTTTTCTTCCCTCTTAATCTCCGTCGCAACAATATTGCAGCGCAAATATCCGAATAAACAAAATTACAGAGCCTAATTCATCCAAATAGTACAACGTCCCTCCAAATGGTCGTAATGGAGAATATTCTAGAAAGCGTCAAATTAACGTAATAGTCTGAGAACAATTATTCCGTTCATGGTCTCAATTCGAGATGTATAATTTTGTTTATGTACTAATTAAGGTAAAATGTCTGTGGAGGAATGTCTTCACCTCCAACAATTACTCAGATGTTTGTAATTTACTTTTGCACTGCATTTCAAGGAGATCGTTCAAGAATGTTTGTTGTTTCGTCCCAATTTTTTGCTTATGTAGATAAAAATGTGTTGTCTTCTCCTTTTGTCATGACTTTTCTATCATTAATTGGGTTCAGTGTCTTAGTTATTGATGTCCTGATTTTATATTTATTTATATAATATTATTTTTCAGTCGCCTTTCTAAAAATCCGATGAGATTTACATATACTTATTTTAATTTCGTAAGATGTAGATCCAATTAGGCAAATTACCGCCTCCTAGAATAAGAAAACGTTCAAAATACCAGCACCTCTGTTTAGAAATATAAGCAAACTAATTTTCTCCACTAATAACCTATTGCATATCAAAAAAAATAAACCGCAAAACAAAAATACTGATTTGCATACTAATTGTTTAATATTAGGTTAGGTTAGAATTATTTACTTCACATGGTGTGATGCATTTGAATGATTATTGATCAATAACACCCAAGGACATTCACCACTTAGTTTAACAACTTTAACCTTATCTACATATATTCAAATTCGTAATCGAAAGTATTTTGCTTTACAACAGTAATTGAATTCTACTTACAAAAGCTCCCAAAAATTTGATTCACCATCCAGTATCGTAAAAACAGGAGATATAAATTCATCCAATGGGGTTGTCGCATAAAATGTATTATCGGGGATGAAGCCAGACCTCCGATTTCATTTCATGATATTAAGTGGACCATTTTTATAGGCCATAAAACTTTCTTTTGAATACGTGGCTCCGAGGATATGATGTGGAGTTCTGAAATAGATGTGTAGCTGCGCATCGTAATTTTCTTTGGGCTATTCTTCTTTAAAGGCTGAAGGTAATTTGCCTAAGGATTACGACTAATCTAGGAAAACTGATTCATGGAAGATTGTGGAGCATAATTTTATACTTAGGATAAACTCGTTAGATTAACACGTTAAACGCCATGGCAGTCACTGGCGACCGACATTAGCGGAGGATTTGCCTTCAACAGTTTTTTATTGGCAGCCAATGCCTTAATTGTAGTACATTACAAAGCTCTTATTATCTACTCGGTAAATGGAACTGTTTTTATAAGATACGAAGCCCATGAGCAGATGCAGTTGATATTACGTAACATAAGATCATAACATCACGCCTTTTATCCCCTAAGGGGTAGGCAGAGGTGCACATTATGCTACTGTACAATATAACACCCACTTTACACTATTTATGTGATGCGTTCCATGTAATAGGGGGTGAGCCTATTGCTATATACCGGGCACAATTCCAGACTCCGTGCTACTGCTAACATTTTGAAAAAAAACTCAGTAATACTTTGCCCGACCCGGGAATCGAACCCGAGACCCCTTGCCCGGCAGTCACACTTGCGACCACTCGGCCAACGATGCAGTTGATATTACGTGTTATACTTTTAGTCTGATCAAGAAATGTGTGTGCATCCAATCCGAAGAACAATTCGAAAACCCAAGTGATGTCCATAAACAAACGCCAAGCTGCAATTTGCGCGAACTCAAACAATCTATGTATAAGTATTCAAGTTTTCTAGCATCGCAGATCGCAGAGTTTCGTCCAAATCAATTTATTTAATTTAACAGGACCGTTTACTGAGCTCGTAATCAAATATTTTTGGCGGAGAACTTTTGAAACAATTCAAGTTCGAACATGGAAGTCGAAATTTCCGTAGCTCCTTCGTTTGGACAGACGATAAATTTATTTTCAAACTTTTCTGTTTAGTGTATTCCTTGCAAGTCAATATATTTGAACAAGGACTGAACTATCCGTAGTTTTGCATCGCAGTGATTTAACAATCTATTGGAATTCTTATAGTTTTCTGTTGAATTTTGTGGATTGTTTTTGCTATATTCTATCGTCTTTAGGTTATTCACTGACTGGACTGTCTCGATTGTTTGTTCTTTATATGGTTGATTTGATGCCTTGATGGAGAAACGTAGTTTTGGATTTCTAATTATATTACTTAAAATGCGTCACTAATAAATTATATTTTATTAATGATGCTGTCTAATTGCTCGTATACTTTGGAATTTACATGCAGACATTAGTTTCTAGGAAAAATAGTTTTGGAATTATGTGGTTTGTCAGTCACTCTTTGAACCAGTAAAATGTACCGTTAAATTCACTTCTTTAACACATAACTCAATCGTCCCAAATGGATAGGTATAAAAGTGTCAAAAACTCGTATTTTACCTCGACATTGGGTATCGTGCAAGTTTCTGGTAGAAGTAACTGAACGATTTCTTTTGTAGCCAACTTGTGCATTCCAGTTGGGTGCAGTAAAGGCTGTATTGCAAGACAAATTGTGAGTCCGGTACTATACGTTGTGTGGGACTCGTGTTACGAAATGAGGAATCGAGACTTCTTGCTACTGAGATTTTTTCAATGTATTGATCTTAATTCGGTTGAACATTAGAATAATATTTGGTTGAGTCTCTATAACACTGTCTCTGTTTGAAAATTGGAGAATCAATACTTGATCTGGTATTAAGAACGTTTAATGTCAGTGTCGGTGGTTGAAACATCTCAATGGTGAATGTTGAGCAGAAGAACTCAAATTTGGTAGTACTGTAAATTAGGATGATGACAAAATGAAAATTAAAAATATAATTAGTCCGAATATAATTATAATTAGTCCGTAAATATAATTAGGTAATGAAAAAATATTAGACACGTTTTTTTTATTTTGTCGTATAATAAAACAATACTTAGATAAAACGAATCAAAGTTTAGGAGTGGGGGCTAAAACGTCATTTCTATGTATAAAATGTACATAGAAGTGACGTCACGCGACATTTCAAATCAAAATATCGTTGAAAGTATTAGTATAAAGTAAGATAATAAAAAAATACGTGTCGTAAAGTACGTACGTGATTTAAATTAATCTACCAGATGGACATTAAAATAAAAATTAGTGTAGACCCTATTGACTAGCAACTTGATCATCCATCATTGTATTATCTTGAGGACAAATAAATCGATTCAAACTACTATCGATTGCACTGACAATACCGAGAGTGCCAACTCTCTCATCTCGGACACTGCAATTTATGTGAGATCTTTTGTAAAGGTTCCGTGTTCATACTCGAAGCTCGGTTATGATTCCTCTTATTTCTTACTTTTCCCCTCTTATCAACAGCAATGAGGTCGGATTTAGAAATAGGCACAGCTTTTCTAATTGCTTGTAGGTAATTTTTGAAGGTTGCTTGGTATTTTCCGGGAAACATTAAATAATGATGAAAAAGGAGTTTGGATTGTCTTGCTCTAATTGGTGATGAACAATGAGCTTGTTCCTTAGCAAATAAAATTGAAAAAGCAAAATATGGATGTAACCAGCGTCTGCTCGCGTCATGCGCCGTGTTCTTGTGGGATAAAAAGTAGCCTATGTGTCATTCCAGAATCCAGTTCCATAATCTTTCAATTTCAAATTTCATCACGATCCCTTCAGCTCCCTTGACGTGGTTGAGTAACAAACATATGTTCAAACACAAAAACTTACAATTCATTCACTATCGCATTTATAACATTAGTAAGATTTTCAACCAGTGGCAGTCCACTGCTATACTATAATTTTCCTCCATATAAGAGTGTTTGATATAATACCCCGGTATTTGTCAAATAAATAGTCCTTTAGTTGGCTCTTGAGACTTTTGTGGGAAGAGAAGGGATAGTAGTGAATATATTCTGCTTTTCTATGATCACACAGTGGTGTATTATTGAGTATAGTAGTAGGCAGCAAGTCAACTCTTTTCTGTCAAATATCTTTATTAGATTTTCAACTCTATAGTTTATATATAAAGCCAAAAATCCGATTACAAAAATTTACCTTACATAGTGGATTAGTTTGATTTGCAGGCTGGCCTCTATACGTTGAATGGAATAAGATAGATTATTTATTGTTATACTATTCTCATTAGCATTTTCTTCTACCATAAAATGTGTATCATTGAGATACATTATTTGAATACAAAAGTAAATTGTTTCACTCAAAATGTATTTTGTATTAAACTTGTATATCGTTGAATAT